CAAAATTATTCCGAACGTAAACGGTACGTCGAAAATATCTTCCGGTAATTTTGACTAAAATAACTGAAAATAGATAATTCCGAAAAATAATATCGAAACTAAAATATAATTTATACTGATAAATAATCGGGATATTACAAGTTTCACATCTGAGTTCAGTATTTTTTACGTTCAGTACGATCTGAGTAGATAAGCATTCAGCATGATGAGATCAGTTCTAAGTATCATTCAAAAGATAATGAGATCAGTTCGAATATTCAGACTATTTGTACATTTAACTTCAGTAAGATTACTTCAGTTTCATATGCAGGTGTTCAGTATGCATTAAACCTAGTTTTCAACAAGTATACTGAAACACAGAACTTTTCTTTACTGAGTTAATATCATGCATGCATATTAAATAATTGTAATGTAAAGGAGTTTAAGTATAGAAAGATAGTACTCAGTAGTTTTATCCTGGTTCGGGTACCGTCCCCTACGTCCAGTCCTCAAGGTACCGTTCCTTGAGATTTCCACTATTGAGCTCTTTCAACAGGTAGAGCATCAAACCTTTACATTCAGCATCAGTAGCTAAAGCTCAGATGAGTACCATCCTCATCCTTACCACTTGTACCACTACTGGAACAAATGAGCAAGTTTACTGAAGAAGTACCATCCTTCTCAGTTATCTTACACACTTCATTACAAGGCTTCCACTCCTTGCACTGCTTATACCGAAGCAGGATTACAATGATTTTCATTTTCTTTTCTCAGATATGGAAGTTGTTTTGAACTAACCTCTCATTCCCATATATTTTGCTCTACAGCTCTCTTTTTCTTTGCTCTCATGGCTATTGTATTTCTTCTACAGTCCTTTCATGGATCTGTATTTCTTGGCTTTCCAGCTCTTAGATCTTGACTTTTTAGCCTTGGCACTTCAGCCTTTTGGCCCTTCGGCCCCTTGGCACTCCGGCCAGATCAGCGACGTAATGAAGCTTGATTGTCTTCTATATATAGCCTTCAGTTGTAGTCGTTGTCTATTGTTACCGTTTGAGCAATTCTAGAGCCGTTGTAACTTCGTACTTTCTTCTGACAGAGAGACCAGGTGATGGAGAAAGATGGGTATGGAAGGCTGACGTTTGATTCTTGCTTTCTTGGTCTCAACGCAGCTTCCCTCTTTCTACTTTCTCTTCTATCTTTGTGTGAGCTGGCCACTTAATTACGTGGCAGCAGCATAATTGCCTCACTTCTTTTGGGCTTTCTTCTTGTATTGGGCTTGATATGTAACTTTGTTCCTTGCCCATTAATTAATCACAAAGACTAGGCAATATTTTGATTTAACTTGATTAGCTCAATAAATAATTGCCTAAACATTAATTCAACATATTTTTCATATACTGAATAAACCATTTTGTTATCATCAAAAAATAAATGGGATGGGGTCCCAACAATCCCAACAATCTCCCCCATTTTGATGATGACA